GCTTCAACATTTCTCCGCAAGTGGCGCCGTTTCCAACCTCCATACCCCCACTCCACACTGCACAGAGAACCGTCATAGCCTCTAGGGCCTCAAGACCGTCAAGAGCATTAAGATCATCAAGATGAACAAGACGATCAAGACCGCCGTTTAGTTAGACCTTTGGCGCCTTCAGAAATTATCTACAGACACTGGAACGGCTGTTTTCCACATCAAAGTTTATAATAATAGGGAACGCGCAAAATTTGTTTACTACATTGTTACAAATCTAGACCACGTGTTGCAAATTGTTAACATTTTATCTTTCACATTCTTAACCTAGCTGAACACAGATACAGTTTTCTTCTGAATGGAGAAATTTTTTGCAGACATGTTCTGGTGAAAACCATGCACCGCTACAATATTTGGTGAATTGGCAACAATGGATCGTATATCAAAATTCCTATGTCAATTCTTTTGAGCATGTGAGTGTGTGAAAGAAAGGGGTATGTATCATTGTTGTCAGAAAAATTAGTACTGCTGAGAAATAAGGATGTCTGGACACGAAGTTAGTGATGACGATCAATCACAACACTTGCAGGTATTGAGAATTACAGTTTTAGTAAATATAACATAATTTCCCACAAGCGGGTATAGCGTAGGCGGCATAGCGACTGGCTACGGCCTGGACGACTGAGGGGTTGGAATTCGGGTCCCGGTAGGGGGCAAGAATATTCTCCAAGTCGTCCAGCCCGGCCCACCCAGCCTCCTATCCAATGGGTACCGGGGTTAAAGCGGAAAGGGCGTGAAGCTGACCACTTACCTCGCAACTAGTGCCGAGGTCAAGAAACTGTATGTGTACGTCCACTGTCCCATTCGCCTTAATGGCATAGTGCGTAATTATTTGAGCACAGTGACACAGTGACCTTTTAACATCGATATTTTAATTATAGTCAATATTAGAGTCAATTTTACCGACCACACAACATGTTTGTATTATTATTACACTACATGTTTCGACCTCAAGAGGTCATCCTCAGGTGAACACAGCTGTATAATTACACGCAATCACATTCATCTTCTCACTTATTCGATCCTGTATATTATTTAGGCTCACGCTCAATAAATCAAGCTCTCATAAAACACAAGTTAAAATTGTTCTAAAAGTCAAAAGTTAAAATTTAAATTTAAAATTGTTTAAAATATTTAAAGTTTGTGAATCGAATTTCAATTCAGGTCACTTGTTATGCTTTTCACTTTCACTTGTATTCAGTCACTTCCTACTTAACGTTCATGAATTAAAGTTCAATTTTATTATAGATTGCACTTTTTCACCTTTTGAGGTCTTGCTGTTCTGCTGCGTCTTCTGAAGTTGTGGATCTGTTACGGTCCATGTCATGATGGCTACTGATTTCATTATTGTACCCAAAGTTCAGACAGGGCGCTAAGGGGAGGGGGCGAGGAGAAGAAGCGGCATGTTTGGTCGACGTAAATGTGTACATTCGTGTACATCCTTCCAAATTCGGAATTCGGTAATCTGGCGGTTCTTCTGTAGGTGCTGTATATAACCTTTCTTGACAGCATCAGTTAAGAGTTGATTTTATCAGAATTCTCAGTCAAGAAATATATTGGTTGTAGAATACAGTAGGCGACCTTCATCCCTAACCACACTCCTCAGGGTGGCTATTGGTGCTAGGATTTGTGATGTTACTTTAGGTTAGTAGAATGTAAGGCCCACATGCAATTTGGATTTTCACGAAACACATACAGCATTGATATCTGTTGGTTGCTGGGATCACCATGAGATAGTAAAAGCAAAGTTTGTGAAATCTTGATATTAGAATAAAAAGCTATAAATTTAATTATATAGTCATGTCTCAGTGTTGTGAGAAATTTTTAATTTTATGTAATCATTTATAAAAGAAAAGAACTTATAAGTTGCAGCTCTGATGTTTAAGTGTGAGTGCATCACTGATCTGGAACTATATTGCTGCAGTTCTCATCTGCCACGCTGTACGACGAAAGCATAGATGTGGTGGATGCAGAAGAGGTGGAGAGCCCAACATCCAATAGTATCAAAGATAGAGATATAGACAGTTTCCAGGATAAACAAACAGATTATGACAAGGTATGCAGACTGACTGCATGACAGATTGCTGCATGGTGTACATTTGCTGATATTTTTTTATCTATCTGGTACAAAGTATCTCTTTCTAGCACTGTTGATGTAGTTGTAGGTTGTGGGAAGTTTAAACAATAGCCACCCGTGCTTTATACTTTATAATGTGAGTGCTTATAAAACTTGAAAACTTGTTTCCAGCCATTTAGTCCTTACCCATCTGCATAGTTTCCAATTTTTAGAATAGTGTAATGTGTTATATGTCCCCCATCACTGAGCAACAAAAAGAATGGAAATTGCCATTGCAACGAATTATCGAAACAGTGGAAACAATGCGTTTCTGTGGCAACGAGCATACAGCACGTGAAATTGAACCCTGGGCAATGGTGCGTTCTACCCCATCCAAAACCAGGCTATAACAGTCCAGCTCCAAAGAGTCAATTAGCTAGTTGACGATTGACACTGGCTGAATATACCAGATGGCAGTCCAGTTGAAGTCTAGCAGCTGTCAAAAACAGCTGGGAGGTGAATGTGATGATTGTACTTGAGAGTGTAAAAGCATGTGTTCAATAAATATTCGCTGAATCTGAGACCTATGTAGAGTTATTCATCACGTTACCTATGAAACACGCAAAAACATGTTTATTAATTAAGTATTGGTGAATTAGTCTTGTCATTGACCTATGCATATGCCAGAACTGTTTCATTTTTAACAGTGAAAGGGTTAAATTCATATAGAATATAATTTTGCTTCATGACCTGAAAGTGGTACATTATCAGCTGATGAATGTGTATATCTTGAATTTTAGGCCATGGCAGGGCCTTCCAATGATGTGGCAATAATGGGAATCCAACATCCAGGATCATCACATATTTCAGCACGCCATCGCATCACGCACCAATCCCCAGTGTTCAGGTATAACAGTGATGATGACGATGATAATGACGATGATGACGATGATGTTGATGTACAAGCTGCAATACTGGAGGGGTGTGTGTAATTTCTCATTTACTATCACAATGAGAATCCACTGACATTTCCTCTCCATTGTTTTAACATTTTGAAATCTTATAAGAAAACATGGAATAAAATTATACATGTCCACTTCAGACCCTATTAATTCACGTGTCAATTCAGATGAAGTCAGTATTGTGTTCAGTGTGGCTACAAGAATGCTTTTCCTTGGAAGGTGACAAATTAATATTCTGTTGCTGAGTAGAAAGTTCTATTATGAAGGATTTTAGGTTGTCGCAGAGGTGGTTACGATAAGTTCCATCTTTTGGGATATAACACCTTGTAGTCCAATGAAAGTTAATCAGAGTTTCTGCTTGCCACCTGCTTTCACCCTGGTTTCTTGCTTATCTTATTCTTCAACCCTGAAGATGGAGGCAGCATGTTCCTCTGAAACATCGGTTGACTTCCACTCAACCACACAGTATTACATCCGAGGAGACAATGCTTCAGAATGTTCCATTGTTTATTGTGACTTTTCCTTTTGCTCTCATTTGTTCTCATATCTTGAAAGATGGTTTATGTGTTTGTCTGTATTTGTCTTTGCAAATTTGTCATAATCATTTTTTGTTGCAGATGGTTTGCAATAACTAATTCCAGCTTGACTCCAGTTGTGGATTAAATTCTGAAAATATTCCCGTGTCACAATTCTGATCATTGTCTTCACATTACAGGACGTATGATCCAAATGAATTCAGCCACCTGCCAGTATCAGCAGAGGTGAAGGACATGTTCCAGAATATCACACGGTAAGTGTACAATTCATGTTTAGTGTTAATTATTCAACCAACATCAGTTGCTGTAGCTATTATCTTCTTCAGCTACACACCACAGAACATGGAACTGGACTACAAGCTGCGACCATTTATTCCTGACTTTATACCAGCCGTTGGGGACATTGATGCATTCCTCAAGATTCCTCGCCCAGATGGGAAAAGTGACAGCATTGGACTCACAGTACTGGATGAACCATGTGCGAAGCAGAGTGAGCCAGCAGTGCTTCATCTTCAGTTGCGAGCTGTTGCCAAACAGAGTTCTGCAAAGGCTGTGGTAAGAACACTAAATATCATGATATCCATTTTAATATGGATTAATATTTCAATTACACAAATATAAATCAGTGAACTACACCTGCATGCTGTATGGAGGTGGGTTAGAATACCTCCACCATAGCCCTGCAAGTCGTAGAAGGCAACATAAATGGAACCTGGTGCCTGGGGATATAACTGGGCCACCCTATCACTCAAATACATAAATACAGAGACCTGGTCCTCCAAGTTGGGAGTTGGATGGAAGGCTGACATCCTTGCTCTGTAATAAAGTTACTGTTGCAAGATCCAAAAAAGTGAAAACCAGATGGTCTAATCCACACTGGAATAGACAGATCTGGCAGTCTTCTAAGGAAGGCTACGGCTCAAAGAGGACTATTTTGCCAATGATGGTCATGATGATGAACTACACCTGCTCTGTCATCCTGGTCTGAAGGTGTGTCCAGGCACTTCAGACTGGATAATGGAGGAAGATGCAGGTACTTAAAAATGTATCAGATTTTTCCAGCAACATCAGAAATCTGTACTGCATCAATAGTATCTCTGCAGATGTTGAAAGATAATATCACAAAAATAAATTGCATACGATAATAGATATGGATTTAATATGTGAGAATGACACACAGTTTATTTAAATAATTCACTATGATCATTGTGTTATGGCTGAATGTGACAACATATTTTGTATTGAGAACTTCAATAAATGAATTAAAAGAAATTGTGTTGATGTGACTGGGGATGTAGTGATTGAATGACTGTAGAAGAAATAACAGTATGCAGAAGAGACATTGATTCTGTTATGCCATTCCCCAGCCCACCGTTCTCCATGAACTCCTTGTCAGTTTTATTTGTTATATGTATAATTAATACTAGTATAGGTTTCCACTGCCAGCAAATCCCCCATCATTATTTTACAGATGTAATTGTGCAAACTTACATATGCCTCATTGATCTACTGACATTCCAATCAATGAGAAGGGTTAATTTCACATTTTGCATTGATACATATTGGTATTTTAAATTTTACAAAAATAAATTCAACAGAACTTTCAAAGATGTCACCACTCAAAATTCCAGAGTCCCTTGTGAAATGATATTTGTGTTCTTCCCACCTCAGAAATTTACCCAGCTGCCATGTTGGCATTACTGATGTTAGGGAATGAAAAAGTAATTATGTGGAGTGTCCTCCAATTGCATATGAAGTCTCACAGAAACTGGTCCACTTGGTACAAAACATATTACAAGACATGCATTAGTTCTCTTACACGTGCGTTTCCACAAATTGACTTCAATGCAGAATCTGCATGCAGCCCTCAGGATCTCTTTCATTTAAGAAGCTAATACTTTTAATTTTAATCTTCCAGTGTGGAAGAAAAAGATATATCTTCCCCCGCTCATCACTGGTTGTCAGTCCATCAGCAGTCTTTGGCCATTTGTTTTTATTCTTAGTATTACTAATTTTAATGTTCGTATATTTATAAAAGAAGTTCTTCTAATTAAGACAGAACAGTGCCCAATGCAGGCATTGATGTGTGTTTTACACAATGAAAATGTTATCAGAGTGTTGCAAAGCCCATCATCCGAAACTTATTACAAGGACAATTTATAAGAACCTTATTAAATACATTGTGTCTGGTCTAGACTAGCTCCGTAGGAGAGCAGCTATACAGTATCTGCTTCTGTTCCATAGGTTGTGAAGAAAGTGGATTGCGCAGAGAAGAATACAAAAGCTATTGACCGATGGATCAAGGACATCAGTGATCTACATCGCAGCAAACCCCCACCCACAGTCCACTATTCAAAGTATGTTTCCTGTGTCTTGCAGCATTTGAAAGCATTCATTTACTTGCATGAATTGTGTGAAATAAACAAAGTACTGATAGGTTTATGTTTGTGTTTGTGTTTCTTCAAAACAATAAACCTGTCCCTTCACTTAAGCACCATGCAGCAATGTGTGTAGCCTGTATGTTTGTGATCTCAGCACTACATGGAGGTGAGTGGTGAGTTTCATGCATAGGGAAGAGTCCCAGTATTCTAGCAGAGAGACCAGGCAAGTCTCAGAGCTGTTATGAATGTGGTCACAAAGAGGAAAATCCAAATCATGCCCTAGCCTTCTAATTAACATTTGCCATGTTACTGATGAAGCTGCTATAAATAAGAAATAGTTTAAGAGCATAATAGTCGTTGCAGTTACTAAGTGCAGTATAGAAAAAGGTGAAGGTATCCCTGTTCTTAACTAAGCACCATGTCATGAAGATTTATGAGGGAGTGGAGGTATACCTTGGCACTAGGTGGAGGTGAGTGGTCAGCTTCATGCCCCAGCCACTTTTACACCCGAGGAAGGAGCCTGCAATACTCATTAGGTAGGAGGCTGGGTGACCCCAGATCTGGGCACTGTGGAGTAGGGAAAAATCTCTTGCCCCTGCTGGGAATCAAACCCTGACCATCTACCCTATAGCCCATCACTATACAGTGTGGGCAATACTCATTAGGTAGGAGGCTGGGTGACCCCAGATCTGGGCACTGTGGAGTAGGGAAAAATCTCTTGCCCCTGCTGGGAATCAAACCCTGACCATCTACCCTATAGCCCATCACTATACAGTGTGGGCTATCCCAGTACAGTGTGTTGCCACTTCTTATGTATAATATTTTATGTCTGTAACATCCCCTTGTTTTCATTCTTGTCATTGTGATCATGGCAGTGGACTGATGCCTGCTTATTGTCTGCAGACCAATGCCAGACATAGACAGCTTGATGCAAGAGTGGCCTGCTGATGTGGAACAACAGCTGCAGGAAACTGGTTTGCCTGTTGCTGACCTTGACTGTGCTCTTCCCCGTTATGTGGACATTGTGTGTAGTAAGTACAGAGTAGCTTTGTCTACATTACTATAGTAAACTCTCGATTATCCGGGATAATGGGTGGTCATGGAAATCACAATTAATCGAAAACCCGGTTAAGACAAATGTTATTAAAAGTAGTACTGTAATACTGTACCTTCATAATACTATAGGCATACCTGTATTTAAATTTACTCAGTCTCATTTTTATGTCATCTCATGGCCTATTTAATACTTTTTTTTACATTATACTGAAGTGTGAATTTGTTATTTCAATCACAGTGTTCAACAACATCCAACACTTTTTATGAATATTCACACTTAACACTTTAAAAAAATTAATATTGTCGTTTGCGTTTTCGCGGCATTTTCCTTTTTACGGATATCCGTATGAAGCCTGCGTAATTATAGCTTGTCACTTAATAAACTGTTCTCTTCACTCTCAAGATAGTCTAGTAAGGATTCCAAATGATTAAGAGCAGCACCATGTGATATTTTCTTACTAGCAGCACTGTCCACCTCTTCCTCATTCTCACTTTCTTCCCGCTCTTCTGGCTGCACCCCAACTGAANTGTTAGCATAACGGGACCAAAGAATGCAGAGCTCGGTTCACACTAGTGCGAAAATAGTGTTACAACTCATCATGTGAAACAAAAGTGAATGAATATTAAACAACATATAAGCCTCAAAAAAGCCTCAGTAGCACCGGATAATCGAGAGTTGACTGTATTTTGATTCTGTGCAATGTAGTAGTTGTACTGTTAATCAGTAATTGATTTGTATTTGCAACAAATGAACATTTGGTCAGTGACGGATGCAGAATCACATTTTGAAACTGTTGTGCAGGTCTGTTTGACATCCCAGTGTATGAATCGAGGATTCAGTCTCTCCATGTTCTTTTCATGCTCTACTCAGCTGTCAAGAGCTCTCAGTACATCAGTTCCAGACCAGAAGGGAATGCTGATACAGAAGAATAATGATCTAGTCACAAGTCTCAACCATATCTTAAGTCACACAGTTCACACAGTTTGACATGACACTGTCATGTGATGTATATGTAAATATGATTGTAATAAAGGCACTCTGTACATATTGATACATATTTAGTGATGATGTATGGGTCGAAGTACAAATATTGAGCAATGCTGAGGAGAATTGACCAAAGAAAGAGCATAGGACTCTGACAGAAGAAAGGTCTTCAACTGTGTGTGTATGTATGGATGGATGTGTCTCGTTAATGCCTGAATGGTTGGACAAATTTTATTCATATTCAGTATTCAAGAATTTATCCATTCTAGATCAGTGCCAAGCGTAAATCTGAACATTCCAACTTCAAAAACAGGGGCCCTTCAGACAGGCTCCAGAACACAAAATGATTTTCTAATAATAATTTTGATTAAATTTGATTTATGGAGACCATAACCCTAAATAGAAAAGCTTACATGGTATCTTCAGAAAAAAATAATGGTACATATACTACAGGCCCAAACATGAAATGTAACTATTCTCAAACCCAGCTTTACCAGTTAAGACAGATTTCATCACTGTTCTGAATTCAGCAACTAGTAGGGGTCTACTGAGCAATGCTCAGTTTTGTTTCCAAGGTAATGTAGTCACATTCAATCATATGAGAAAATATGTGCGTGTCTTTGCATTTGGAACTTCCAACTTTCCAGTAAGAAGTGCAACATTTAGAAACACTGAAAATATTTTGGTTTTAAGTCTGGAAAAATCATAATGATGTAAAATGTGAAGCCTGTAACTAATACTGCTTAATACATTTAAATCATTCCTGGCCAATTTCACTTCTGTCCTCCAGTGGGAAAATATGAACACCTAACAAAAATCAGTTGTGCTAAAAAAAAAAGGCACGGAGACAATGCACATACTTCCTCAATTAAACTCGACAGATCACAGCCTTATTATTTGGGTCCACTGCTTCTACAGATGATTAAAATTTAATCAAAATTAGTAATTTTTTTAGAAAATGAACATTTCAGGTTTAGGCTGCTAGAGGGCATACTGTTATCTTCCTTAAGATACCACCTATGGAGTTTTATTTGGGGAGAACATCTCCTTAAAGTACTGAAATAAAATCACTGTAGCTGTTTTTGAGAAAGCCTGTGGAGCTAGAATGTACATATTCACTCCATTGACCTATGAAAGATAAACAAAATACCAAATATGAATACAATCTTGCCCACTTTAGGCACACATAAACAGATGGCATTCCAAAATCTCCTAGTTTGTGGATGGTTGAAATGTGTAAATCCATCAAAATCGCAAGATACATTTTGTTTCTTGCTCACAGTACTTTCTCATACTATGTACATGAGAAAGTAAAAATACCAGTCACAGATTATGATTTTTAGAACTAACCAGATATATAACAGATACTCAGATAGCTTTGTCATGAGAAGAAAACTTAATTGCCCATTTCATTATCATAAGAGGTAAAAGGTAAAGTTGTTCCTGTGCTTAACTAATTAAGTACTACACCATGAAGGCATATGGGGGAGTGGAGATATAGATCCACATACTCTGACCTTGGCACTAGTTGGAGGTGAGTAGTCAGCTTTACCCCCAGTACACGAAGGATAAGAGGCTGGTTGGGCCCCAGAACCAGTCTGGATGAGATGAAGAAGAGAAAAATCTTGCCCCTAACAGGACTCAAACTTGGACCCCTTGGCTGTCCAGCCCATAGCCAGTTGCTATACCAACCATGCTAGCCGTCTCCTTTAACATAACACGAGCTCATGATAATGGAATGACATGCATATGAATGCAATGGTTAAATTAATTATGATTTTCTTCAATATTTTCATAAATGAAAAGGCTATTCCCAACCATAAATATGGCCATTTGCATCAAATGTAACAGAGTTCAAATTTAAATGGGAAATACATGATTAGAAGAAATCCCTCCCACACACAAAATTTTTGTTCTTAGTCCAGTATATGTATTACACATATTACATATTCTAAATAATATATATTGTGACATGTTGCGCAATGGAGGACAACCCCTCCCTACCCAGCAGTGACGTGGCAGATGAATCAGTGCTCTGTCCCTCCCCCCTCCACAGTGACGTAACAGGCAAACACTGCGACTATACAGAGTGTCCCAGGAGGAATGGACCAAATTTCGGGAGGGTGTTCCTTATGTTAAAGTATGCCGATATAACCCAAAACACCGATGTCCAAAGTTGAACGGTTATGGAGATAATGGCCAGAGAAGTGTCAAACTTTGACT